TTATTGGATGGTAACGATATATTGTCAGACTGTGGTAAAGGGAGATGGAGCCCAGCCTTGCCGTGTTCTCGCCTGGATGTCTAAGTGTCGACTGAGAAGTTGGCAGAGGTACGAATGTACACATGCGCATCCCGTGACGTCACACAAACAGTCACAGGCCTAGGGATCTCCTATCTAAAGCACATGGATGATACTGATATGCTATACAACACAGGGATCAGCAACTATGCTGACATTTGTGCTTAACAATATTTTACTACATGTAAGCTACATATTGTATATTATGCAAAGAAATAAGTTTTTCAGCTCTGAATTTGAATAAAGTAGACCAGAGGGGGATTGAGGGGGGGCCACACCTGTCCTCAGGAAAATCAGCAAAATCGAATATTATCGTTACTTTGAGCTCGGTTTCAAGTTACTTCCCATTGGGAAACTAACAAAATAATCTGTTTTGGTAGTATGTCTTCCATTGTATCAAATGATACCAAATAGCAGCCGGTAAAACCATAAAGCTGTCTAAAATATCCACTGCAAATTTGCTATTTGAAACCATTCATACAGTCATAGTTTTGCTTTTCCCATCGTGCACTGTGCAGAATTTTTTTTTTTTTATGCTCTGCACACTCACTGCATAGAGCCATTCTCTCATAACTAGGCCAAAATTTACTGCTCACAGCTTATCTGAGTGAGCTGAGCTCATGACCTAGAGCTATGTGAGGGGCCCCTGGCCTCAATGACATAGGTCTGTGTGATTGCTACTGAAAGGGTTAACCCCTTCAGGGTCCAAGGCCCAAATCCGAAGTGGTGCCCCAGTGTCCAAGAATTTTCAAAAAAAAAATTTGTTATTTTTTCTTATGAAATGGTAGAGAATCTTTTTCTGAAGGTAATAAAACAAAAAGTACGAAATTTGATGGAAAATTGGCGAAATTATGCTCTCGCGAATTTTGATGTGTCAGCGATATTTACGAATCGGCGATTTTGCCGAGTTTGACTCCCATTTTAGGCCAATTACATTATTCCAGTCAACCAAATTCTTAGCTATTTCACTAGTATTACTTCTATTCTATCGATTGAGCACAAGAAATCGCCAAGTCAACTGTTTCAACTACAAATTAAAGTGATCGGAAATTGTTAATTTGGCCAATTTAACACAAAGTTCAAAATATTCCAATTTCAAAATAGGGTCCAGAATAAACAATGTAGCTATTCCTGGAACTAAACTAACATTTCCTCTGTTCATTAGTTATGTTTTGAAGCTTTACAAATAAATTCCATTTTGATTTTTTATTCACATAATGAATTTTTATTCACACCAAAAAATAGAAGATTTACTGTTATGCAATACTGTAATAATTGTATAAATATCATCACCATATTTGTGAATGCATATTAGACCCACCAGCTGGCGTGTATTAGACGTGTGAGGCCGTTTGTTTACTCTTGAATATCGGCAAAAATTTAACATTTCTGCTACTTTGAGCTCAGTTTCAATCCATTTTCAGTGCTAAAACCAATCAAAATCATCTCTATTTCTGTAATATGTCTTTCATTCTATCAAATGAGACCAAGAAATCGCAAATAGAACTATAAAAAACATACGAAAAAACACTGCAAAGTCGCTGTTTTAATTGAAAAATCATGATTTCAGTTTTTTTCTCTCATTATACACAGCGTGCTGCAGGATCTGTTTTATGTGGTGCACACATACCACATAGATGTATTCTCTCATATCTAGGCCCAAATGTACCACTCACAGTTTATTAGTGTGAGCTGAGCTCATGATGTAGATCTACAGTTTGGACCCTGAACGTAAAGCCGTATATCTACGGGACGGACCCTCAAAGGGTTAATAATACCAGAAGGTGCGAGTAATGCACAAAGAAGGCTACCTGGGACTCCATTACGTACTGTATTTTACTTTACTTTATACTGTACTAGTTCTGTTGTAGTACCATGCATAAAAAGATGATATAGCATACCAAAGTCATAGACAATGGGCAATGAAATTAAAGAAAAAATAATGCAAATACAGGTAATTAAATTGGTGTATGCAAAATTCAGGGGTACTGAGGGAGGGCAGTATGTTTTTAGTCAAATTTTATAAGACACATAGTGAGACTGTAAACTTATAGATTTAAATTTCACTTTGTTGGTGAGATATGGTACTGTACAGTGGATCCTCGGTTTTTGTGATTAATCTGTTCGAAAAAGTCTGACAAAAACCGAATCGTACGAAAACTGAAGCAATATTTCTCATAAGAAATAATGTAAATTCAATTACTAATTTGTTCCAGACACCCAAAAATATTAACAAAAAATACGTTTTATAGAGAATAACTATAGTTTTACATACAGAAAACAATGAGAAATAAATATAAATGACTATTGAAATATATAAATAAACATTTAACATCACTTTTACCTTTACTGAAGACTCTTGTTGGTGTATGAAACATGGCGAGGAGGGGACAGGGAGGAGGAAAGGTTATTGTTTGGAAGGGGAATCCCCGTCCATAAGGAATTTAGGTATCAAGGCCCTATCTGGGATTACTTCCCTTCTTTGTCTTTTACTGGCACTAGGACCGCCCTGAGAGTCACTGAACCCCTGTCCAGAGAGGTCTGTTTCTGGCGTCTCTTTAAGGTTTGCCTAAAATGTGACAAGGCATTGTCATTGAACATTTGCAGACATGGCTTGCAGTATCTTTGTTAGGGTGATATTTCTCCACAAAACTTTGCAACTTGTTCCACTTTGCACACATGTCCTTAATCACTGAAGAAGGCACATTCTCCCCTCTCTTCCTCCTCCTCCGAAGCAATTTCCTCAGCTGTGGTCTGTTGCTGTTTTAGTTGAAGGTCTTGCAGCTCTTCAGTGGTTGTCCACCAGCTCTTCCACATCCTGGCCACTCACATCTAACTTTATGGACTGCCCCAAAGACTCAATACGTAGATTCCACAACAGGCATAGGGTCGTCAGGGTCAGCCTCAAACCCTTCAAAATCCTTCTTGAGGACACATTCTGGCCATTTAGCAGTCACACTCGAACAAGCACAAAATACAGTAGATTATTACGAAATGTTTCGGATGAATGCGCGGGGTGATGTTCACTCAACGAGAAACAAAGGCAGACTGAGTCATGAACACATGAGATACTTTGTGCAGGCAGGCAGACGAGTTTGGTATGGACCATTTTCAACTGTATGAAAACCAAGCAGTTGTACGAAAACTGGGACAAAATTTTGACGAAAAAAGTTGTTGAAAACAGAATCGTACAAAAACTAGGGCATACGAAAACCAAGGTTTGACTGTACATATTTGAAAACGTGAAGTGTTACCGGACATTACTTTTTATATTTGAGGATTTGTCATTATCATTTACATAATGGTTATAGCAGTACTACAATACTTAATTGTATTAAGTTGTTTGTGAGTGCATATGCATGAAAATTAGCATTAACTAGAATGCTGCTTCATAAAAATTAATTGTACTTTGTAGTGCTTCTATGAGATACTCTATACAGCATTTCACTAAAATTGTGCCTATGCTTTAACCCTCTCACTGTCCTGACCCGAAATGAAACTTGCTCTCATTGTCCAAAAATTTCCCTCCTCCCTCATTATTTTTTCCTCTGAAATTGTAGAGTATCTTTTTCAGAAGGTAATGACACCAAAGGTACAGAATTTGAGGGGAAAACTTATGGAATTATGTAGGTGCAAAGTTATTGGTCTTAGCTCAGTTTTTGCACCCGTGATTTCGCCGAATTTGAGTCTTATTTTAAGCTAATTCTGTTATTCCAGTCGACTAAATTCTTATCTACTTTGCTAGTATGCCTTCCAGTCTATCAACTGAGCACAAGAAACTGCCCATTCACCTGTTTCACACAAAATTAAAAAAAAAATACCAATTTAAAAAGAGATCATAATAAACAATGTAGACATTTCTGGTATTAAAACATTTCCTGTGTTCCATAGCTATATATATCCCCAGGCTTTTCTTATATTAAATTTGCTTTCCATTTTGAATTCTTATTCACACAAATATAGAAGATTTACTCTGTTTCTCGGAGAATAAAATATAACCAAGAAAGATTGGTTATGGTTTATAGCATCCCAGTAATTGAATCAGACCTACTAAAACCCATAAAACAGACTGGGGGTTGGAGGGGGATCTTCCTGTCCTCTTGAATATCGGCAGTTAAAATCATCACAATTTTAGTAATGTCTTTTCCATTCTATCAAATGATACCAAGAAACAGCCACTAAAACCACAAAAACCATTTGAGAAATTACCGCAATATCGCTATTTTAAACCAATAATGGTCAGTTTTATTTTTCTCATCATGCACCACGTGGGGCAGGATTTTTTTATACACACTCGCAGTACAGACCCATTCTCTCATATCTAGGCCAAAATTTACCACTCAGAGCTTGTTTGAGTGAGGCGAGCTTACAACATAGGATTACATCAGGGACCCTGGCCTCAATGACAGAGTTCTATGTGACAGACAAGAAAAGGGTTAATCAGCATTTGCCAGTACATTATCATTATATACACCCCCTGTACAAAGTGTAACAGCAAGCATAACAACCACAAAGTTTTGTGACAACAAAAATTTTCATGGATGATAATGACATTTTGTGAAAATAACAAGAAAATGAATACAGAATTTTTGTGACGTGCAGTTTTTTTTATTTGTTCTTGAGACTCTGCATAATTTAAAAGTTATGTTATTGTTGCTAATAATTGGTAGTAAAGTATACATTCATAATTGGCTCAAATCAAATAGTAAACTCGTTTTTTTGTTAACTCAAAAATGAGTGGCATCATCTCTGGCACTACAGTTCTGTATTCAAGTAAATTTATAGCACTTCAGGGCTGGGCAAGTGTAAATAAGAATTATTGTGTTGATTTTGAGTGATTTACTAAACCTTGTTATGTTATTCCCTCTTGCTGCTCATTCTGCCCTATGTGCATGTTGACTGTTGGGCTTATATGCATATAGCAGGAGAGGGTGGTGGTGGTGGGGGTCCACGAACAACAGTCAAGCGAGTACCGTCAATCAGTCGAGGGAGAATTGGCTCTTCATCTTCTAATGCAGGTACTAACATAAGCTGGAGTTTCTCACCTCATATTCTGAATCATAATTTAAAAAAAAAGTAGTGAATAGCATTGCATATTAGACTCCATAATATTCTGTTTTCTTCAGATGTATCGTTTTACTATACAATACAGTACAGTACAGTGGTACCCTGAGTTTTGGCCACATCCCAGCTCAAACAATTATGTAAGTGTATTATTGTAAGTGCTTTTGTAAATGTATTTCTGGGGGTCTGAAATGGACTAATCTAATTTACATTATTCCTTACGGGAACAAATTTGTTCGGTAATGTCACATGAACAGCCTTCTGGAATGAATTATGGCTGAAACTCTGGGTTCCACTGTATATCATTTAACAGTGTAATTTGTCAATTACTGTTTGCTTATAAGAATGGCTTACCCAAACATGTGGGTTTGTATGAATACCTAATACACTAATTTATGTTTGTTAAATTAGGAGGCAACTGAAGCATGATGTAATGGACTCATAGGGGGGGGGGGGTTTCTCTGAGTGTCAGTTAATCCTTAAACTGTCCAAGCAGATCTATGTTCACATGCGTAGTGCTCCAAAAGTAGTTTTCCTTTTTTTATATACTTATTTTCAAATATAACAAAAAAAAGATCAAAGTTTTTTTTTACACGTTTTCAAATGTAAAAAAAAGAAAAGAAGATCTACTTTTTTTACATACTTTCAAATGTTGAAAAAACGCAGATCTACGTTTGGACAGTTTAAGGGTTAAATCAGAATAATGTTTAAAAGCTGTAAAAGAAGCTTTTAATTTCTGTACTCTACATCTAAAATAGTACTGCACCCTCAGTTTACAGTTATGTTACAATAAACATTAAAAATAAAGGCGTTAAAAGTACAATTTACTCGGTGGCTTTTTGCCCATTATTTTTGAAGTCCGATGTAATAAGGGTTTACCGTTGAGTCTGCACATAAGGTGAATAGCTATTGTACAAGTTTAGTGCAGCAAACCTTTGTGAGTTATGTGATCACAGTTTGCATTTTTAATATTCTGCGATTTAAATTTACTTTTTAATTTCTAATAGTAACGCACCATTACCATGAAGGCATGCAGGGGCAAAATTAATGGAGGGGTGTTAATGTTGCGGTTTAAAAACTGTAGTGTAAAGCACCCTTCTGGCAAGACAGTGATAGAGTGAATGATGGTGAAAGTTTTTCTTTTTCGGGCCACCCTGCCTTGGTGGGAATCGGCCAGTGTGTTAATAAAATAATAACATTGTTATCCTCTTTGTCATTCATATTATCATCTTGCTTTGTCTCATGGATATTAATCATGACACCCAGAAGGAATAACAGTGATGCTGAAGGTCCCAAGAAGACAACTAGCTTTGAAACACTTATAATTTCTAAGAAAATTATAGAGTAGAGTAGAGGTGGGAGGTGGTGGTGTTTATGGCTGGTAGGGCACTCACATGTCTCATGCAGTACATAATTGTACTTTAATTACACATGTGCATTAAACAGTCATGTACCCTTATCAGTTACATATACATGAATATGTTGAGGATTGATAATAGTAGGAAAATATTAAATGAGAATATTGTGTAATGTTTATGATGTAGTGAAGATGAAGGCCACAGGTGGAGGCCACAGTCAACCATTTTGGCTAATAAGGTCTGCATCAGTTATATCTACACACTTCTGTAGCAACAAGGACTTTTTACCCTATTTCAAACAAGAATGTGCACAACAAAAATGCTGGCATTCATGTTCGCACTTCTCACTTTCTGTGGCAGGAATGTGCTCTCTTGTTAATAAGCTCTATTCAGTTGAAAAGGCACTGGTTTGTGAAACCTCTTCAAAATAAAGATATCCAGGTAATTCACAAACATTTAATTCATCATCTTACTGTTATTCTATTGAAAAAAATTAACTCTTATACTGAGTCAACAACTGGCTTTCCCCAGGCCTTGGACAAGATTTGATGGATTCATCCTCATTTTTTCCCATATGTTTTTCACTCCATAAGTTGCAGAAATCATTAATAGCACAGTTTCTAGGAATGTAACCTGAGAGAATTGTGAATGCCCACTGTACATTTCAAAACTTTTGTAACCTAATACATTCTGCAAATTTGGCCATACCAGTTAAAAATGTGCATAATTATCTCCCTTTAATTATGTACTTACTTGTAGTTAGAAAAATAGTTATGCTAGCGGTATTATATCATCTCTGTCTTGATAAATTAGACACATGTGCAACACTTGAAATTTAATGAGGAAACGTTTCGCCACACAGTGGCTTCATCAGTCCATACAAAGGAGAATGGTGAAGAGCAGGAGGAGTTTGAGGTAATCAATCCCTCAGCCTTGAGTCAATGTGGTCGTCCATCAGTCTTGAAAAGATTACAGCATATCTGCGGAGAAGTAGCTTCAAATTTAGGTTGGATAAATACATGAGTGAGAAGGGTTGGATTTGAGTAGGATTTGATAGAGTTATCAGAGCTTATTTCTTGGGTGGCATTGAAAATTGGGTTGCGCAAATGTGTTGTTAGTTGGATGGATTGTGAAGGACCTGCCTAGTATGGGCCAACAGGCCTGCTGCAGTGTTCCTCCTTTCTTATGTTCTTATATACCGTAGGCAGGAGAGGTGCAGCAGTCATAGGTGGTATCACATTTGTCCAATGTGGAAGTAGGTCGTACCCAAGGGTTACGCAAGTGAGGAATTCCCAAGTAGTATTAAGATCCCAAGATGTTGCATGTCAGACAGGAATGTAGATGAATGGTTCAGAGAACCAACAAGTTGATAAATTAGGAACTTGTGCAACACTTGGGTATCTTTAATGAGGAAATGTTTTGCCACACAGTGGCTTCATCAGTCCATACAAAGGAGAATGGTGAAGAACAGGAGTTGTTTGAGGTAATCAGTCCCTCAGCCTTGAGTCAGTGTGGTCAGCCTATGGAAAGAAATGGTATAAAATACCGACACAATGGAAATATAAACACACATGCAGTATAATGTGATCCTTTATTGACAGCGTTTTGCCCCACGGTGGGCTTTTTCAAGTTACAAACAGATCTACCTGGGGTGGAAGGTATGCGAGTACTATTTATAGTCAGGTTCAGAATGCTGGGGCAGGTGGAGAATGCTGCATCTAATGATTTACCGAGTGGGGTTATAGAGTCTAAAATCTTGAGTAGCTTGGAAGGGAGATTGGATAAGTATGTGAGTAGACCTTCTGCAGTGTTCCTCCATTCCTATGTTCTTATGTGGGATAGCGATGAAGAAGTTTCTTGGCAAGTGGTTCAGCTATGTTATAGAAGCCATTGTTCTGGTTGAAGTTGTTGGATATAGAGATAAGCGTCATATGATTCTAGGATTCTTCGGTGCGTGTGGAATTGTCTGCCCTGGCTTGTAAACATTGGCACACTGACTGTACATAGTGGCCGGGTGGCCGCGGGCGGCTCAGGCCGCATGGACCCATTCTGGACGAATGTCCTTAACTGAGTTTTTCATTGTTAGCCTAGCCAATATTTTTATGCAAAAACGCATCGGTATCCAATTTTATAGCTATCCGATAGTATAGTTAACTGAGGGTCCACTGTAGTTCCTTTATATAAAGGGAAGGGGGAGAAAAGAGACTGTAAAAATTATAGGGGAATAAATTTATCGAGCATACCAGGTCAAGTGTACGGTAGGGTTATTATTGAAAGAATTAGAGGTAAGACAGAGTAGGATTGCAGATGAGCAAGGAGGCTTTAGAGTGGGTAGGAGGGAGAGAGAGATTACTTCAAGGTAAAAGTAGGCCTTAGACAGGGATGTGTAATGTCATCATGGTTGTTTAATATAATTATAGATGGGGTTGTAAAGAAGTAAATGCTAGGGTGTTGGGGAGAGGAGTGGAATTAAATTATGGGGAATCAAATACAAAATGGGAGTTGATAGTTACTTTTTGCTGATGATACTGTGCTTTTGGGAGATTCTAAAGAAAAGTTACAAAGGTTAGTTGATGAGTTTGGGAGTGTGTGTAAAGGTAGACAGTTGAAAGTGAATATAGATAAGACTAAGGTGATGAGGGTATCAAATGATTTAGATAAAGAAAAATTGCATATCACATTGGAGAGATGGAGTATGGAAGAAGTGAATGTTTTCAAATATTTTGGAGTTGACTTGGCAGTGGATGGATTTATGAAGGATGAGGTTAACCATAGCATTGATGAAGGAAAAAAGGTGAGTGGTGCATCGAGGTATCTGTGGAGACAAAAAAGTTATCCACGGAGGCAAAGAAAGGAATGTACGAAAGTATAGTGGTACCAACACACTTTTATAGATGTGAAGCTTGGGTTGTAAATGCTGCAGCGAGGAGGCAGTTGGAGGCAGTGGAGATGCCCTGTCTAAGGGCAGTGTGTGGTGTAAATATTATGCAGAGAATTCGTAGTATGGAAATTAGGAGGAAGTGTGGAGTTACTAAAAGTATTAGTCAGAGGGGTTGTTGATCAAGGTGGTTCGGTCATTTAGAGAGAATGGAACAAAGAATGTCTTGGAGAGCATATAAATCTGTAGGAGAAGGAAGGCGAGGTAGGGGTCGTCCTCGAAAAGGTTGGAATGAGGGGGTAAAGGAGGTTTTTTTGTTGGTGAGTGGCTTGGATTTCCAGCAAGCGTGCGTGAACTTGTTAGATAAGAGTGAACGGAGACGAATAGTTTTTGGAACCTGACGAGCTGTTGGAGTGTGAAGGGATTCAGGGAAACCTATTAGCTGGACTCGAGTCCTGGAAATGGGAAGTACAATGCCTGCACTTTAAAGGATGGGGCTTGGGTTATTGGCAGTTTGATGTGACTGTCTAAACTGTCGTATGTGGGTGCCTCTGCAAAGACAGTGATTATGTTTGAGTGATGGTTAAAGTGTTGACTCATAATGAAAGTTTTTTTGTTTCTTTTTGGGTTTTTCTTTCTTTTGGGTCACCCTGCCTTGGTGCGAGATGGCCGACATGATAAAATAAATAAAAAATATATATATATATATACAGTGGAA